AAACGCATGCGAATTCGATATGCCGATCAGGGAGCACATGCACGGCCGAATGGACGTACTTAACATGGAGCGATGGTTGAGCAATATGGTGCGTTGACATCTAGCCTGACCACTGAAGTATGCAGGCCTGATCGCAGTGAGCATGGGGTGATCGTTAGCCAGACAACGGAACACGAGCGATTGTGCATTGTTTAACATGGATCACTTATGATGAATGTGGAAGATCAGATACGATCCGTAAAGTATGGGAACTGTTTCCCATCATGAGTGAAAACATTGCGCAAGAGATACTTGTGATTCGCTACTGCATGAGAACAAAGCACAGGGTTTCGGTGCCCATAGTCAGTACGGAGTGCGATAAAGTGGTACAAGGACAGAATGAAAAATGAGGTAGTCAACAGATGCAGTTGAAACGCTCCTTCCAAACACTTGGGGGTTACCATCGATTGGTAGTGGGAAATCGAGGTGGGGAACAATTGAGGAACACAGAAACCTGACAAGGTTACAAATGCTGGAGCCACTAACAGGCGATGTTGCAAACCCATGGGCGAAAGACACGGTCTCCCTTTACAAGGTGTATACTGACCGCAGGACATGTAAGCGCTTGACCCAGATCCAACATGAGTGTTGAAATGGCATGACACTGTGTAAAGTAACGGTACACTACATTGTGCTCCCCATTATAGGTGTCCGCGTACATGACTGCGATCACGCAGTATTTGGTACACCATTATGAGGTCTCCCCATAGCGTCCACTGAGCAGTCAGTCTCTGCAGTTGTTCGGATACGGAAGGTGCCGCAAGCCATTGGCAATCTTCGTTGCCAGGCGTCCTTTGAGCGCAGCGAGGTCGCGCTTTAACCAGAGTTGCCAAGCCTGGATACCTTATTCGACTTAGGACGTACGTAGGCGCTCAGCACCCGGGAGAAGATGGAGGAATCTACACCGTCGAGTACCCTTCGCAAGAGACCAACATACTGGTTGCCTCTTGTTATATCAAAATCTCACTGTCTGGAACAACAGGGAATAGTTAAATCGAGAGGATCGGCTTCTTATTCTCGGAATATCTAATCAAATAGGCATAAGGTGGTTTTGCCACAGGCCTGGTTAGATGCGAGTTTCTAAATGAAAGTTCTTAAACACAGCAATGGCTGCTGATGCTGACAATTTCGTTGTAACTATATATTTCGATATGCGTAAACCATCTCACCAAGTTCCAAACGTTAGGTTGCGGAACGTGTTACAATTGGTTGGCATCCTGTAATCGATTATATCTACTGACCTCCATGAGCAAACCCCATGAAACCTAGCAGCTAATGTATGCCATCTACAAAGTTTCAAGCACTATCTACAAGTCCAAACTTATGTGTGAATATTTTAATGCACCACAAGCTAACTGGTTACTGCCTGGACCTTCGGTCTAAACGCGACTAGACGAAATGGTGTGCTCTATCCACTTCAATGGCTGCATCACATATGTCAGAGGGCCCACCGGAAATGCCAATACCCAAGATTCGGTATTCACCATGAGGATCCATTCTACATGCGCACTCATTGACAATCCATTACCAGGCTGCGACCACAACACGGCGTTTTGTATCGTGAACATGTAAAGAACTAAGCCACTCCAGTACAAAGTTGCAACCCACTCATAACATTCACCGAATGGACTGGAATGCATTTGAGGAACTTATCTGCATTATGAATTGAAAGTCAGCATACTGAACCAGCAACGCGACTAAGGCTGCCGGTGAATTGGTCAACAACGTTGTTGCATGTACTGGCACCTGTGGTGAGGAGCTGCACCTATAAGCAATGCGACAAACATACACAAGTGAACAAGAACGAAAGCAAACTGAAGAAACTTAGGGCATCTTATCACAGGAGCAACATTTTCGATACGCAACCATATATACATTAAGACAAATCAAGGTATGGGACTTGTTTCCCAGCTTATGAATGAAAAAGCTGCGTAAGAGATACCTGCATTAGAACAATGTGCGCAATCACTGCTGATGCCAACATCACGAACATGATAGGGGAAAAATGATTTCGCTCCATGATCAAACGAATTTAATTTAACGATTCATGGACATAGATGGGAAATGGTATGGTCTCTTCGTTAGCTAATTACGCTGAACGACCCAGCAGGGTTTTAGCACGCGGAGCAATCGAGTATGTGGCGGGCAACCGAACTGCTAAATAGCTTGGGACTCTGTGCAACCGTCTTGCGGTAAGGTACTCAGCGATTCTTGCTGACAGCCTATTCTCAGTACGGCCACTGTACTTGCGGTAGCAAGTGTCCTATCCACAAAAGTGACTTTAACGCCGTAGTCAAGTGTTAAGTCGGGCGAAGGTGCGCAGGCGGCATTACATCGCTAAATATTGAGAATGTAGTATGTGTGCGGTGGCTTAGAGGCGATAAAAGACGATTAGCAGAAACCATTCCCATGATACAGTGACGGGACGGGTGGTTGTCAGTCGTCCGCCGCATTCGACCAACTGTGCATGCTTGCGGTACAAAGTGGGAAAACCGACTTACATGGCGTGCACTCTCGTGGTCCACGCGCCCACAGGTCTGTGGGGAACATCGAATGCGACAGCGGTTTGAAAGAACTGGGCTCATTCCAAATGCGATGCTCATATCGGATGGAGAGGAACGCGGCTGAAATGTCTGTGGATCACTTTTTACGCTGAAAAGTGGATCGCCTTCTCAGGTGTCGGGAGGAAGGTGTACACCAATGTAATGTCGTCTGCGAGACCGTAAGTACCAGCATGGGTGCATACATTTAAACTATCATTGCAGTACATAAGGAATAGTGCAGTACAGAGATCGCTGCCTTGAAAAACGACACTTCTTACGGCGGCGCGAACGGATATGTGCCTTTCCATCCTAATTGCTTCTGGAAGCTGAGGGTCTTCTTTATGTGGTATAAGTAAAGCCTATTGTCTCCAGATTACCGGACGAAAGTATGCTTGTTACATCTGTGGATATTACGTGTGGGGCATCAATTAAAGTTGAATTGAAGTACCCATTAAACATATCACAAACAATCAGCGAAGCATCAATTGCAAAAGATGTATGACAGCGCAATGGATGCAATGCCGACATTACGGGACACTGCCATAGTTATTTGTTAATAAATAAACGGTTTAAGGGGGATTTCGGCGTGGCTGTCTCCCATACTTGAACTCCACAACAAAAGGTTCCGTTTTGATCTAGACTCATCAGATAAAGATAACCGAACTGGGAGTGGAACTCGGCCCACAGTGCTTGGCGTTTATCGTCACGATCACTGGGCATGGAGCTCCGCGAGCAGTGCTTGACACAGCGGTTAGAAGTTGGTTTTCGCGACTTTGCTTAACCCAGCGCTGTTAAGCATTGCTCGCACAGTTCAATGTCTAGTGATCATGGAGATGGCCGCCAAGCACTACGCGCCGAGTTCCACTCCCAGCTCGGTTATCGTTACCTGATGAGTCCAAAACGATGGCATCATCGGTCATAGAGTGAAGGGATGGAAGCCACACCGAAACCCTCCACTTCGGTGACGCTCCCAGTGACCGTATTGGCAGGGGCGGACTTTAAAGTCAACTGAGGCCACAATTGAGATTGTGTCGCAATCCAAAAAACGAAAGTCAACTTCTAACCGCTGCGTCATGCACTGATCGCGCAGCTATTGGCGATAGTCGCCAAGCACTATGCGCCGATTTCCACTCCTAGTGCGGCTATCTCTACTGATGAGTCCGGATCAGGAGGAAATCATCGGTCGTAGAGTGCACGGATGAGAAAGAGCTACACGAAATGCTAGCTGATCCTTGCCAAGGGTCAGCGCAAGAGGTCCCTTCCCTGCCAATCTTGGAGGAAAGCCTTGCACTTCCAGGGTGCACGACGTGGCACCCTACTGAACTAATTGGAAGCGAATGAAAAGCGGAACTGGCCACTTGCCAAATACTGTTCGTCTTACTTATGAGTAGGAGGATTTTAGTTGTAATTTTCAACGGGCACTCAAGCTACATTCCTCAATCACAATTCGGAAAGGCACCAGACGCGTTTTGCCCTATCGGGCTCATCAGTGGTGCACATTCTTTCAGTCCGCTAGTGGAAATCGAACCGATGATCGCTAGAGACTGACGCCAACTGGCCAGCAGCTTAAGCTACTGAGCGATGGGGGACGGTAGCTGGGCTACATAATTTGCAAGCAAACTGGGATATAGCACGACCTATCTTTCATTGCCACGCAGGTTACAGATGACAATGGCTAGCCTCCAGGTCATGACGTACAAGACGCTATATCCATAAGATTTGAAACGAGGGGAGACTACAGCATATATTACTTATGAGGATTTTAGTCGTAACTTTACTGTTCGTACTGTCCTTTATGATCTTTTCAACATGCTTGGTCAAAACGGTGACAATAACCACTGCACCTGTTCAAGTGGATCCCGTTCACCCTGCGTACTTGATAACTGCGAATCCTCTCTTGCTACTGGATCTTCGCTCCATTCATATAAAATGCCGTCGATTGAACATCACAGGTCTATATAAGGTGCTAAACTTACCTTCTTCTTGTTCCCCTCCCTTGCACCACACAACTAGCTTGACGCTTAGCTCCAGTCCAGTTGCCACTACTCTTTAACTCTGGCTGCACAAGCGGATCTTGGCCCAGATCGCCAATGATTCCCAGCGTAGGTCCAGCCGCACATTGCATTTGAAAAATTTTGAAGACAACCATGTGATCGACGACGGAGGCAACCATCACCTTAGAATCTCTCCCATTCGGTTCGCTGATCACCGAAATTTCGTTGTCCGTACAGGCCGGTCACTTTGTGCCGATCCGCGACTTGCAATACATGCGACCGTTATCAAAGACACAAGCTTACTTGATCAAGAAGCTAGAATGAGAGCGTCAGCTGGCGGACGCTACGCCGATTCATTAGGGGAAGTGGCGTCTTTTGGTTTCACCAAGCGCGCTTGGCAAATTTGGAACAGCGATTAGCACGAATGCTACTTACAACACCAGTCCTCGTGGATCCCTACTTGGTTTCCAAGTCAAATCCCATCGAAGTGCCATACCGCTCAATCAAGGTAGCCACAATAGAGTCTGCACAGCCAGAGCTTACGGACGTACGACTCGCACAAGTGGAGACTGCATTGAGTGTGGGATCTCTTAATGGCATTCTCAAGGCACATGGATCTGTGCGTTTTGAGGCGGATTGTGGAGCCTCATTCTGCGGTTCCCGACGCGCACATGGGCACATACGTCATGTCTGATCTGGACGAGATGAATGAAGCACTATCTCAAGAAGGGCTGAAAATAGCCAATCAGAAGTTCCCAAAACTACATAAAATCAGCTGCTGGTGAATGAGAATCGTATCGAAGAACGGACCAGTAAAACTACTAGGTTCACTAGGGAGTCACCCAAGCAAGACGATAATTTGACCTACCCGTCATATAGAGTGGCCAACTAACTGTTGGTTTGGGTGGAAATTTAATCGTGTGTTTAAAAGGGGCAGTCATGAAAAAAAGAATTGTTAGCGAGCGCTGGTCTGAAAGTTGGCCCTCGATATCCCACAAACGGGTGCATCATTTGTTCAAGTTGAACGTACTAGAGGAATCCAAATTATTAGAATACGGGGGGTGAAAAGGTGGCTGTCGCGATATTATTCAGTATAATAGCAGTCCTAATAATGACCAAGTCAAACTGACGATGTTACGGTGATGACAGTCGACTGTTAGCTGAAAAACGGTCCTAGATTGGCAATGGATCGAAAAAAAGGTCAACCCACACAGAATACACTATCCGAGATAGGTAATCACAATGCGGAATGAAGGAAACAAAATTCCACAAGACTGTGCACATGAAATGCGTAGTGTATGACCGAAGGAAGTGCAATGATCACAGCTGTTTATCTTCACCACATTGGTGAGCGGATGGTTGAGCAAGAGAGGTCAAAAAACAACGTGGAGCAAGACACGTGTGACGCTGGATCGATGGAGATCGCAGTGGATGGAAGTTCAGTTAAGGGCTATGTACACATCAGTGATGCGTGTGGACAAATGCACACTACACCAGGACAGGGTGGAAAAATGATCGCTGGGGATAGATTGCAAGCCCCAAGAGATACCAAAGAGGGTAAGATAAACAGATGAAGCCGACAGGGGGACAAGGAGAATGGGGCACCGAACAGAAAGAATGAAGAGGGCTAATTGTGGAAAATTAGAGGGACAAACACGAATAGGGACTGTCGCCGCATGGCTATCTGTGTGTTCTGGACAGAAAGGAGAGGAAAAATTGTGGGAAGCTGACTGAGACAATTTTAAATTTCATCTGAATGAGTGGTGGTAACATCCTTTACAAAATGTGACAGGTCTAAGGTGTTCAAAGCCTCGTAAGGCGCCTGCTTTTCGCCAGGTTCCCGTGGCTCGGGTGTAGGCCGTGAGGAAGGTGGTGGGTTGGTCCATGACTCTTGTGGGGTCACCGGTGGAGAACTGAACTGTACAGCCTGGTAGAACAGTATGTACGCTGTGTAAGAGGATTTCGCGGTCCACGCTGTGGATTGACCGAAAAAATCCTCCAAATTGACGGGGCAAATTTTCTAAACAATAAATTACACGGCTAAGGATTAGCGACGGGAGTGTGGATGGAAACAGAGTAATGATACTTGTAGAACTCAAAAAACCGAATCGCAACAATCTGATGTGTTAATCGATGCAGCCAAAAGATAAATGATTCCAACTACCCAACATGAGATTAGAATTTCCACTCGAAAAAACCAAGTAGCGCTAGGCAATCAAGGATCAGGGAAGCGTTACTGCAGTACAGTGGAGCACAAAACTGCGAGCACTATCATTGAATGACAACCGTGAGAGTAAAAAGGTAAATTAACTAGCAAAATTAGTTAGTTTACATGACATAAACCGGTGGGATGCTTTGAAATCTGAAAACAGTGTGACGCAGACGGCTCGGGAAGAGCAGTCACAACCGGTGTTGTTGCGAGACCGATCAAAAAGTACATTGATCGGGTTCGAAACAGTCAAGGGACCAAGGGGGAAATCTAACAAACCTGGTGCTCAGAGTACAAACTGTGGTCAAATGGTTCAATTATCTGGTTTATAGTCCACAGGTCGCTGTTTGGAGCCTATCTAAGTACGGGCGACCTCACAGTATTCGAAGCCTGCATGAGACTTGTGACGAACACATGGCAACGAAGTGTTGGCAATAAATATCGGTGTAATGTTGAGATCTTCGCCCTCAGACTGACAACGACCAGCATGGAGTGTTCCGGAGGTTGGGAACAATGACAGAGGTGATAAAACGTGATTGTAACCTGGAACTTAATCACCATAAGGCAAACCATTATCTAACGCTGTTGTATTCATATCACGGTGTATTAGAGGAAGCATAAATAGCACACAAGGGAAGAGTAGGTCATGTGAAATCATAACCAGTCAATCAGTCACATAGGTGGCCAGTAACTGATGTGATCAGGAGGTATGATGAAATCGCGAATTCGTGTCCCTCACTGAGGGAAAATGAGAGCACTACTGGCAAGCCGGATACTGCAGTCCAGTTGAATGAACCTAGTTGCACTAATAATAATAATAATAATAATAATAATAATAATAATAATGTGTCAGCTGTACGCCGTAACGGCGTTTCGCTGCCACGCGACCACCAACAGTCGCGCGCGGGCTGAGTATACTGCGAGGACGCCCACCCCTACGCCTAGTTGCACTGAACCCCATGCAATGACACACAGCTGCATATGTGTATTACGCGTCCGCTTCCATGTTAGTTGATGGAGTAATTATAAGCGAAGAAATGGGGATCAGTGAACAAAGTAGAACAGGATGAAATAAATGGAGAAAACGCAACGCACGGAAAAGTATTGACGGCAACAAAAATTGTGAGACATGTCATGTCATAATGAGGATGGTTGTTTGTAAATGCCATCGAACAGTCATGGGAAGTGGTCGATTGATTCGCTTATCCTAGTGGCTGTGCCATCATTGGTAGTCACCACATTGAGAAGGCGACCACATGAATCGTGTCAGAATGTTTCGTTTCAATCGCCCAAGGGGACGACGTGATATCGGTCCATTAGTTAAAGATGAGGTGTACAACGCTGTGATAAAGCCAGTCACTGCAGGGATTAGAAACATGAGTACTTCGTACTAAAGACATTAGTAGATCGACTGTCTGTGATCAAGGACGTTTGCGAGGCATTTCTCACCTCTGATTCGACAACTGGAGGAGCAATGTTGAAGTCCGTCAGGTGGTGTCTAAAAATCCTCTGATGACCCATTGAAGTGGCTGTTGAGTGTAACCAACATACACTGGCTCGATCATGTCCTCCGTATGCCCATCGACCGTTTCCCTTAGCATGCAGTATATGCTGAGGCGGCATCTAGTTCGGTAAAATTGTGAGGCTGAGTAACTAACGTGATATGACAGCGTGAAGGAAGTGACCGGGAAATTTGTTCAGAGCATCAAGTGTCGTTTTCGTGAGTGTGCGCCCACATCAGTGGTTTGGAGACCCAGTCGGACGTGGCGCGACTTCATGTAGTAAGTGGAGCTCCTGCACCCGGTCTCTTGCCCCTAGCTGTTAATATTCCACCCCGCCCAAATTTACTCCCTGCTTTCCAAACCTATTTCTTATGTATTTCAACTGCGTTACCACGGTTAATCATGTTGTCGTGCCAACGTGAGCCGTGGGGACTCGATCCACTGCACCTCGGTGTCCGGAGCACAATTGTCCTACTAAACTGAACTGAACATGACTTTTTCAAGTGATGAGCCCAGCTCAAATGTATGAATAGGCTCAAATCGGAACAGTTTGTTGATAGAGTGTCAACCCGGGTCCCAAAAAGAGTGCACGGTATTCCGCGATTAAGAGTACAGCCAGGCCAGTGCATACTATCGGGTAGCAGGAGTAACAGCATATTCCTGAAGATATCAACAATAAACACCGTGTTTGCAAGGAAGTCAGTGTAAGCAGTACGATGTCAGCTGATGAACCAGAGGTTAGGGTGTGTGACCTCCACAGCCAGCATGGTTTGGTCTGGCCAACTCATCTGATTATGTGAAACAGAGAAGAAAGAAAAAGTCACCATACCGACCTACCACACATTTACTAAATTAAACAGAACTGGCATTCTAGTAAAAGAGCAATGAAGACAATCTTCCAACTGGGTGCGCAATAGATATAACATAAAACAAGCCGGTACAGTGGGTCACAAGTGATCGCATGAAGAGTCAACTGCAGCAAGCAAGGAAATAAAGCAAAATTCCCAGGTCACTTAAACCTGCAGTAATATGTTGTGAATTAAGTCCGGAAAAAGAAGTCAAATAATTCACACCACAGTTGCACAGGGAAGGATGCTGCGTTGATTTTGGAACTCGAACAGAAAAGACACGTTTTTATTCTCACGGATGCAAACGTGAGCCAATCGGGACACTGCGCAATGCAAGCAGATATGAGTGGGAAGAGGCATAAAGGTTAGTTAGCGGGGATTAGATTCTGTAGATAACGGAGTAAGAACACTGCATATGCGGTTAGTTTCAAAATGCCGATAGAGTATACGTAGAAAAGAAGAGAAGCAGCTGATAACATCAACGTTTTCCCGTTAAGTGCGCGAAGAAAACGTGTCAGCAAGCGTTGCTGGCCATTCAGAATGTTCGTATTCGGCACACCTATGAATGACGGCAATCTGTGCTACGATTGTCAAACGCAAGAACGTATTTCGGCACGTGACCGTGGAACACAGTATGAGCATCAGCTGAGCGCACAAATAGTGCAGCATGGACCATAATCAATACGAGGCGCACATACACACACAATGTGTGCTGCAGATCAGGAACGAGGGTTAGGCCAATAGGGATTCAGAAACAGTACAGCAAGAGAGTGATGTGGTCAAGCCGAATATGCAAGAAGCGTACACAAGTAGCAGGAAGCGTGTATTTCAGCCTATACAGGTCCTGTTTCGGTTACTAGTCTATTTCTACTGCGATAATCCAAGCGCTCCTCTGCCAGTATGCAAGTCACGTCTAACATTGGCTCTGCAAGTCCTCTACCGATGGCCCCGACCGTCATAGTTCGATAAACGAATAAAACATGGACCATGTGTACAAAAGTGGAGCACTTCGGCATTATAACAGCATATCTTATAGTCTCTGCATTGCTCTCACAAAAATGGATGACATGTGTGCAATTTCAATCGAACCGGATAAGGTAGAAAGCTCTATGTTGTGGAACTCAGATCCATAGATAGATACCAGTGATGAAAAGAGGAGAAAGGTAACGAGGCATATACTAAAGTTCGGCGTTCGGAAAGTGGACAACGATCCGATTAAAGTCGGTGTGAACGACAAATTCATTAACAATGGCACTATGTAAGCCACTTGAACGAATAATTCGCTTCCGTACAATTTCGGCGGCCTGCGGAATGAAGAGAGAGAAGGGAAACCTAGGGAAAAATCGTAATGTCCTAAGCAAGTATTATGTATCCAAGTGCTTAGAGTTTGTTAACAAGTTGTTATGGTGAAATGATAAGGAGGCATCGACGAGACAGCCTCCTTGTGGCTTTGACTATCCCGCGTCATAATCAATCATTATCAAGCAGATAACTCAGCACCTAACACACTTTAAACAGGCGGTCGAACCATGAGACTACAACATATGCGCCACTGGTGCTGACTGTGAGTCATGCTTTGTAACATCTCGAGCCTAGCGTTGCGCGCATTCCAGTTGGGAAGGTGGAACGGACCAATAACACCTAACTTAGTAATCAGTGACTGCATTTCCCGCTGCAAGGTCAACTTTTGCCCACATCGAGCCTGGTGCCACTCCACGTCCGATAAACAAAACAAGGACTTCCTCAGTAAGCGATGAGCGGATATACGTAGAAAAGGCCTGAGTAAACGGATTCATTCAGTGCTAGCTGTTATTCTAAAGTACTCGTCTGATTATCACCGCCTAGCGTTAGGTAGGTTTGCCTGGCACAGGAATGTGATAACCTCTTACTTATCAATAGAGGGAGACACTTGGTATGCCTCCCGTAAAATTCATGGAAAAGTGACGACGTACCAAAGCATGATCCGAGTCCACGCAGATAGTACAGAACGAGCGACAGTCCAGGATGGAAACATGACACCTGTAATGGATATATTTGGGTGTTGCTCTTCCCAACACTGGCACCCCACGACCGCGGTTTCGTCTTGGTTTAGACTCGTCAGGTGGAGATAGCCTGAGCTGGGGTGGAACTCAGAACTTAGTAGCTCATGGCTGACGCCCTGAACACTATGCTACTGAGATCCGCGAGCAACGCTTGGCATAGCGGAAAGTAATTCAAGTTGAATTTGGAAGCACACTGTGCGTTGCTCGCGGATCTCAGTAGCATAGTGTTCAGGGCGTCAGCCATGAGCTACTAAGTTCTGAGTTCCACCCCAGCTCAGGCTATCTCCACCTGACGAGTCTAAACCAAGACGAAACCGCGGTCGTGGGGTGCCAGTGTTGGGAAGAGCAACACCCAAATATATCCATTCAAGATACGGTCCTCCAGATCGAAAAGACCGGGGTTTACCTCAAAGTGAGCCGAGGTCTCAATAGAGGTTGCGAGTCGCAACCCAACCACACAGTGTGCTTCCAAATTCAACTTGAATGACACCTGTAACTTTTGGCAACGTGATCTATTTGGGTCCATCGGTAGCCAGAGATAGGGGACGCCAAGTGGCACTTCGGCGAACACTGTCTTTAAAAGCGGTACTGCTATGAAACAGTCGGTGCTGCGCACATAGTTGCAACATATGTTCGCTGCTGTTCGTTCGGTCGGAGTTACCACCTAGCTGAGCTCCCGAAGAGAAAACGAATTGCACATTCACATCCCCCACAACAATAACGATATTTGAAATGGCAACACTGCGAAGCAGCGAACTCGGTTCGTGGTAGAAGGCGTCATTGACAGTGTCAGAACTACCGTTTCAACCAGAAAAAGCAGCGTCTGGTAATAGTTCGTGAATCAAACTCAGTTGATGTCGTCAAACGGATTGCACACAAAAGGCAACTTAAGGGAATCCAAACAAATAACGACAACAGGTTTGGAGCGGAGAACGATGCCCACCCCAGCTTTACTAGTGATGGCCGTACCAGCGTCTCCGAATGTTTGCGAGCAGTAGCGAGAAGACAAGCAGAGCGCAATTAATTCGACAACTCCAAGAGGGTAATTTATCCTAGTTTCGGACCCGCAACGGATGTGAGGGCGAGTGCAGCCTGTTGACTTAATCACCTTGGAGTGCGAACGTCGAACGCCGTCAACGAAACGGGACAGTGTGGTCTTAGAAGGGGCTGCAGCCGACCGGTTTCCAGTGGGTGGTGCAAGAAGATAGCTGCATATGGTCGAACTATAGTGGCGCTGCAGCTGCTGTCAATAAAGCTGAGAAATAGTGAAGGAAGATTAGTAATGAGAGTCGGGAGGTAAGTGAAACAGGTAGAAAAGAAGGACAGCGCCCTGTTGTATGCAGCAGATAAGGTGACCTCGTAAAGCTGTGCCGATGCAGGATACATTCAAAGTTAGATGAAAGAGTTAGACTTAAATTATTTGACTCCAATGGCAGTCGAAAAACCTCGGGTAAACAAGTTATCGGGATGGATAGATATACAATATCTTGTATGGTGATTGTTGGGTCTTGGAGTACCCGCTGTGGGCCTGGACAGCGGAACGCAACTCAGATGCGACTTCAGTAATCGAAGGGGCTGAGATTTATTCCAGAGTAATCCGTGGCTTCGACTGAGATTGCGTGTCGCGAGCCGCACGAATGGTGCGTGGTCCAAAACCTGACGATCAACTTCCTAACTGCTATGTCAAATGCCGCTCGTTGGGGTCAATTGCTCAGGGATAAAGGCGATAGCCATCAACTACCATGTTATAAGTTCCACCTACAGCTCAAGTTATCTTTAGCTGATGAGTCCAAACCAAGACGAAACGCGTCGTGGCGTGTAGTGGTGGGAAAGCCACATCGAAACCCACCACTTCGGTTGGAAATGGTCCCAATGATCGGAATGGCAGAGGCTGACTTTAGTCATCGAGGCCACAAATGAGGTTGCGTGTCGCAATCCAAGAAACACGGCGGTTGCTCAAAAATGAAATAATCGACTTCTAACCACTGCGTCAAGCACTGCTCGTGATGCCCAATGTCCTACGAGACTGAGACTGTAGTTAAGAGCAAGTAGAAAGGTTTATGTACAACTCTGTCGAATTACGAAAAATCAAACATTTAGTTGTGAATCGTCAGCAGTTGTGTCTGGTCCGTTAATCGTTTATCCTTGTTCGGTTAGGAATTTGTATTGGTGTCATTATTTCCGGGCATATGATGTCTTTATTTGGCATTGTATGTGCATCGTTTCACAAAGCACAGGTTTCAGAAATAATCGTCCATACGTGTTTTAAAACACTTCACAGAATCGGCCTCTATTAATCCGTCTGGTAGTGTATTCCATAAGTGTACGATTCTTCGTTAAATACAAAGCTGTTATACCTGAGTTTGTAACGGTGTCCTCGGGTGTTACAGGGTTCCCGCAGGTGAAATATTGGTCAAGATGTAAGAGGTCAACCTCTAAGTGCCTGATTCCACTCCCAGCACAACCTATCTCTGCCTGATAAGCCCAAACGAGAACAAAACCATCCGTCGTAGAGTGCTGTGTTGAGAGACAATAGCACCGAAATTCTCCTCATCTTCCAATGCTGTATTGGCATATGGGGAGTAATGTTTCAATTTCCTTGGCAAATAGTGCAAATTACAACCTTTACCACAACCTGAGCCGGTACGTTAGTATTAGTAACCCCTGGGTGCACAACATGTAGTTCGTCCGGGACGAGTGATCGGAATCTTTTGGGGAGAACAACCTGCACGCCCCACAGTAAACACCCATTCTGACGGTGATCAGTTACCCTATGGAGAAAGGATGTGAATTATACAGATGTTTTGCAATAGATAATAAAGAAATCCCTGTTAGTCTCTCAACACAAGTCTGTTGATGCAGTTGGGTATTGTTTACCTGTTGGAGTAAGTTTGCGGGTTTTTGTTGAGTAATTTCCGGAGAGCTCCGGTAAGGGAGTCAGTCATGAACGTCAGCTGCGGAATCTTCTGATTGTCTAGCCCGACAAAATGACTAATTACTGGATTATTTCAAGAGAAGCTGGCCGCTGAATCTGTTTTCATGTTTAAGGAGAGAGACAAGTGTTTTGTGAGCCATGTAAATCACGAAATGCCAACTGAACAACACAGATAGAATCGACTTCTACCGAAAGCAATGACGATGCTGTTTCGCGATCGCGCTGGAAATAACCCCGTTCTGCTGCGATTAGGGTTCATGAAGCGCATGCAATGTGGCACTGGGAACCGTCTCAAAGGCGTGTAATGCGAAGTATCGCAAGAGGAGAATCGGTTTTTGAAGATCATAATGCACAGGAACACTAGCTGGTAGCAAGAATCCATTGAATACAATAGAATCATTTTTGTGAGCTGTGCTTCAGTTTCGTGTTGGGTTTCAACCGGTAAAGCGCACAGAAAGGAGATGATGTCAAGGTTATGGCACGTGAAAATTAAGAGACTGCTTATAGAAATGGCCACAATCCGTTCACATGTTTTCAAGCTAGATTTCTGAGCAGCGTTCTAACGGATATAACCAGTTTCGGGACAAATCATATAGAGCTATTCCATACTTAGAACAAGGAACACACGTTGTTCTTTCTTCAACAGAAGCCTAGAGTCTGACACATTTTGAGGGCCACGTACAAGAGGACTCAGTGCTCAGCTGTGGTGTACCTAGTAATCAGGTTATTCAAATAGGTACATATTTTCGGCACATCTTTCACCCATAAGGAAGTAATAAATAAAACTTACTCCGAAGAGCATCGTGTACAGCAAATGAAGCTATTGTGAACGCTTATATAGTTGTGGACACGAGACTAATCATTCACTGCAACACGATGGTAGGTATGACTGGGAGTTTAGTTATGCAGAACATTGCCACAAGGGAGAAACGTGCAAATATATTTGATCCTTGGCAGTGGACAACCCCCCGGCTGTAGTGCCTGAACGAACGTAATTATGTAAACTCCAAAGATCCCCGTGGTGCCGTCGCTTTTAAGTACTGACACAACGGCGTCAGAATGGTAGCTTCCTCGCGCGGGCAGTTACGTTCTTAAACAATTCAATCCCGAGGAATGTAACGCACAATTCGCCCTTTCTATAATTTCGACGTAGCCTGTTGTTTAACTATTGGAGGAGCGGTGTAACTTGTCTGCCCTCGGGGTGTTGCGAATGAGCTTCTGATGTGTAGCTGTGCAACATTTCGTCAGACGGACGTGCAGGCGGGTAAGCGAGCGGTCAAGTAGAGAGGATCAAGAGTGAGCGCGGGATCAATGCAGTCACATACACATGCAGTGAGCAAGTTAACCGGCTAATGTAACGAGTGCATGAGTTTGGATGTCGGTCATGAAGGTATCTGTAAATTTGGTGGTGGCATCTAGAGGGATCAACAGTACCCCGGAACGTAGTACCAACGCTTCGCTGCAGCGCAACCACAACCAGTCGCACGTGGGCAAAGGAGAATGCGAGGATCGCCCGGTCCCTACGCTCGAACTCGAGCCCTTAGATTACAAGGCAGGCTTGTGATCCTTAAGGCTACCAACCGGTATCTAACTGGCCAGTAAATGTCATGTAAATAAGATAGCATAAAAATTCACAACAATGAATGGCTTTTGTATGCATCGCTACCTAGCCTGGTTGTATCAGAGGCGATGTCTGACGTTGTATCGTTCAGAGCAACTGACCGAGTCGCTGATGGTACACGCTGTCCAGATCTCCACATAAATGCAGCCAAAAATACAAAGAGCAAAATAAAAAATCCAAAATGAAATTGCAGGCCTTGATTAGAAAATAATTGGTTCGATACTCACATCTACAACCTCATCATCGAACAGTAACCAGAGGCCGTGGGACTTGACTAATGTCACGTAGTGTCCTCGGTTGGGCCCCGAGCCGGAATGCACCACGACAGCCGTCAGTTTGTACAACCAATTCTGATCGGCAGCTCCACCGGACTGTGAAAGGCAGAGAGGTTATCGGTAAATAGAAATTAAGTTAATTCAGTTAGAAACAAAGAGCAGACTTTATTCGATCGGATCCAGACAACTCAAATGCAATTCAACCGGCGAATGAGTTAAGTCGACCAAAGCAAATAGGTTTGGAACCGCAAATAAGTGAACACGAAAGACGAAATTACGCGTGGACTCAGCTGAGTGATCATATTATTCAGATCAAGCATTTGCAAGAAACCAGTTATTTGAGATTTGGTTCAATCAATCTAAAGAAGTGAGTTCACATTGACCAGTTGTTATAGACATTGTAGAGATGCTGGGTGATTGCATTACTCGTTGATTTTTGACGAATGGCAACGCTTCATCGCAGTAGAAACGCGATACAACGGGGGGTAAGACACGACACAAGCAATTTTCGCTGACCCAATGCTTACAAAGTGCGAGATATTGAAAATCAGCAGATAAAATGAGAGACCAAGCGGTAAACAACAAGCTGAATCCCAGTACATCATCGATGACATCCGATGCTGATTAGTCCAACAAAAGGACTGAGGCAGAGGTGATCGCAGATGAAGATGCGTTAGAGTGCATTCTTACGGCATTGACAGTATGCCGGTGCGCTGTCACGCGACCAACAGCCGTTGCGCGCAGATTCGAACCGGTGACCTGTGAACTATAAGGCAGACGCCTTGTACCAATCGGCCACCGGCCGAGTAGTACACGCTTGCGTAAGTGATACATTGTCCTCAAAGAGGTGCGTAATGTGTGAAATTAGCGTCATGAGACGGTCGTTGCAGACTGCAGATGTAACGTGATACCATTCATCGCAGATAGTCATGGCCGCCTGACTACTTCCAAAGACAGATGTCGTTTGCAAAGTGCAGGTCGGAAGAACGTCCCATCGATTGTGCCATGGGAAAACTGCCACTAGAGTTGATGGGCAGATCAACAACTGGTGCAGTGGCTGTTCACGTATCAACGAAACGTATTGGTCGGCGCTTCGCTGTCACGAGACCACCAGTAGGTGCGCGCGTGCCAGGGATACTGCAAGGTAGCCCGCATCTAATCAACTCACAAGCAGTGATCCGTGGATTACAAGCCAGACAACTGAAGCGCTCGGACATCAGCCGATCCTCCTACCGTATGGCGAATGCGGATATCCCAACCATCGCTGGCGACATGAACGCCAAAGTTGGTTGTTTACCTGACGCCGAACAGTCTCATGGAAACCACTTCGCGGTCGATGTCTAATGGACAGAAGACAGTGTCAGACTTTGCAGCTTAGCCAAAGTCTGTTGGGAACACCGCGTGGGCAATCGGCATGTTCGGCGTTCTGTAGTTGGTGAATGAAGAGCGAGCGAACCGCTCAGCACCATTATATCACGCACCAGGCTCCGATGGTTAGGCCACGTATTGCGAATGCCAGCACACTGACTCCCGCGACGTACGTTGTTTGCGCGACTGGTGTCTGAATGGAGGAACAGGAGAGAAGGCCAAGCGATGATTTGCTCAAGAGGAATGAAAAACATGATTTCGAATTTGGCACCAGTTAGTGTCTTCCGACTGCCGGGCTGTGGTCCCAAGGGCGATGAACATGGTTGGTTTGATACCCTAGTTGACATGGCAAAGAGTCGACAACAATGGTGTTTACGTTGTGAATTGCTTTGGCACCTCCTATAGCTTCTTCTTTCAACCATGATCTCATACCCGATGCATAGTATGATACTTAGCATCATAGTGCTTGTTTTTCTTTTAGTTTGTGAAGGCTTTAATGTTTAGCATCTTATCATTTGTATAGTGGCACATTAGTGCAGATGTGTCTCGCCCACAGCTGACGCGTCGTGATGAAAATGATGATCGGTTGCCTAAACGGTTGAATAGCCCATGTGTAAGAAGTGATGTTTTTCGAAACCTGGGCCCGTGGAGCGCGATGATGCCCTCGTCCCAAGTAGACCATAGTATCATCTGAAAGGAATGAAGGCCGTTACTTCGACGTTGGCGTCGGTTGGAGCCTCTCGGCTCCCTGGTTGGAGTCCGAAAGACGATGAACACGTTTGGCTGGATACACTTGTTGACATGGCTAGGAGCCAACGTCAGTGACGTTTGTACTGTGAGTTTCGTTGTTCCTCCCCATCCCGCTTAGCCTTCCCCTTCAATCGCAATCTCATTTGTTTGCATAATATAAATTTTGCTTAATAAAAGTTTTTGATGCACACTAGCCGGCTGGCATCTTTCCGGAACGATGCCAATTTGTTACTGGTAGCTCAGCTGGCGTGCACCTTTTGTAGGTTTTTTTCTTTTCTCTTCTCATGTAATTCAATACAGTAGCTGAGATGTTTTCTAGCTCTAGCTAACGTGCATAATGATGATGGTTATCATCCGATATAATTAGTGCGTTCGCTCAAGATTGTCGATCGATATGGAACACCTAGTTAGAGTCCGATCATACTTTAGAGGACCAGCGCATGACGCTGGCTTCGTGGTTATTACCTGAATTGACAGTCAACAACACAGCACTATCAAGACGGACTGATTCAACAGCTGTCACTGATGAACAAGAGGGAAGTCCATTGGCGATTAGAATCGATCCTCATGCTTTAGCAAGGGAAAGTTGGAAGCCATTTATCCAGTTGACTTAAAGCAACTGAACTGTGGATGAATTATCAAAGCGGCAGTAGTTTGATTGATGTTACTCAGTTGCAGTGTTCCCAACTTCCTGTAAGGATATTTGGCTAAGAGTTAAGGCAAAGAGCGGGAACTATAGAGCCAACGATGGTCGATATGATAGAAAATGCAGATACCAGCAGGGACCGCCGAGTATGTTTTAGACTCAACCAGAGAAAGAACGAAGAGAGAATATGTTATCTTGCTGTGTACTCTCCAGGAAACAGGCAGCAGGAGACCTGGTGTTAGCGAGATCATACGCGACGAGAGTGGGCAGCCAATCCACAGCCTGTCGAAACGCTTAGAGCGTTGGGCCGAACATTTTGAAAGGTAATTAAACCAACCGGAGTTATCGCTTTCTTTTTCGGGCATTGAGCGCCCTTCTCCTTGGGCTGTCTCGTTGGATGCGGCCTCACGCGCAAAAGTCGAGCGTGAGATCTCGCTGCTGAAATTGAATAAGGCCACAGGGGCAGATAGGATTCCCCCAGCCTACTTCGAATTCGGGGGACCTGCTCTAATAGATGATTTACACGAGTTGCTAGTGAAACTTAGGCAGCAGGAGACTGTCCCGACAGACTGGAGCCGCACCGTCATTGTTCCAATTTTCAAGGAACGCTCCTGTTTGGAATACGGCAATCATAGAGCGATCAGTCTGATCTCAAATGCCGCTAAATTGCTTGCGTTTGTCATTCTCCACAGACTGACTGGCACTCGTTAAAGTCAGATCCGTGAAGAGCAAGCCGGTTTTCGTCAAGGTCGGGGTTGCATTGATCACATCTTCACCTTGCGGCAATTGTTGGAGCACCGCCATGTTTAGTGGCGACCCACAGTTGTCGTGTTCCTTGATATAAAAGGTGTCTTCGATTCAATCGATCAATGTGCCCTATGGGACTGTCTGCTGAGGAAAGGATTGCCCAATAAATACGTAAACATTATCAAAGCGCTGTACGCGCATAGTTCGGGCAGAGGGTTTATGGCAAACTGTCGCCGCCCTTCAGTATCCCCAGCGGTGTGAGACAAAGTTGCCCACTGTCACCTTTCCTCTTCAACTTCACTATTGAGGAAGTCATGGACACAGCGTTCGCTTGACACGACCTAGGTGTGCAGCCACTTCCTGGTGAGCGACTTCTTGACTTGAAGTATGTGGACGATACTGCCCTAATCCGTGACAGCTCCCAAACATGCCAAGCAGCACTGGCTGTCCATCGTTTTGGGATATGCTTTGCTCCATCGAAATGCAAAGTACTTCTCCAAGATTGGCAGGGACCAACCCCTGCGCTAACGCTTTGTGGTGATCAGCTAGAAGTCGTTCAGGAATTAAAGTACCTAGGCAGCCACATTATAGTCCGTGGCATCGAAGATGAGGCTACGAACCGTATAGCAAAAGCACGAGGCGCTTTTGCCAATCTCTGCCATTTATGGCGCAGACGCGACATTACTCTCACCCTGAAGGACAGTTTATAACGCAGCTTTCCGTTCAACTCACCTATATGGTTGTGAAACCTGGTCCATCAGGTTAACAGAAATAAAGAGGCTCGTCACATTCGATCATCGCTGCCTTCACAGCTTAGCTCATGTCTGGTGGGAGCACCGCGTGAGCAATGGGTGTGTTCGGCGTCGCGTACATGGTGCAAGAAGAGTGAGTGAACCGCTCAGCACCAAGCTCCGATGGCTGGGCCACGTGTGGCGCATGCCAGTACACCGACTCTTGCGACATGCATTGCTTGCGAGCCGGGGATGTGGTTGGAAGAAGAGGGGAGGCCAAGCGATTACTTAGTCGAGACGAATGAAAACCCTCACTTCCAAACCGGCATCGGTTGGTGCATCCCGACTACCTGTCTGGGGTCCTAAGGACGATGAACACGTTTGGTTGGACACACTTGCTGATACGGCTAGGAGCCGGCTTCAATGGCGTTTGTGTTGTGAGTTTCTTTGTCCACCTCCGCCTTTTAGATTCCCCTTTCCAATCCCGATTTCATGCAAAACGCATAATATAATATTTAACATCATATTTTGTAATGTAATTTGTGGAATTTGTAGTGTAGTTTTTTAGTCCCTTATCTTTTGTATTGCGGCACATCAGTTGATGTGTGTTTTTCACCCTTAGCTAACGTGTGCTGATGATGATAATGTGCACTCTCCCCTATATTGTCGCGTCCGATGTCTTGGTAGTGTGGAGATCTAAGAATGGCAAGTTGTTACTCTCAAGTTGTGTGGCGAACACTGTTGTTGGGTGCACCGTTGAAGTGGGCTAGGAGATCTTCAATGCATACCCGGCTATCCGCAACACAAAATGTAACGTCAACGTATCGGCCGTAGGAAACCAGGTTGCCGATACC